TATATATAAACATGTATGTATATATATATATATACATAAACATCGAAGTGGTGGAGGCTGGGCCATTCATTTCTCCAAAGACCTGTTTTCCTTCAAGAATGGCCATCATCATACTGGTCTGCTTTGTTGAGAAGATTTTTCCGATGAATCTGGAAAAACACCTAACTTATACATTCGGCCTCACACATCCGATATATAACGAGTCAGCTTGTTATGGTGTGACCTAAAATTGGGTACAAGTTTCTTAATGGCTGTTCTATAACAGATTTTGATCTGTAGTGACCTGTGAACGGTCTAGGTGATATGATTTGCTGTTTAGTCCATCAGTGAATTATGTAGTTTCAAGTTCTAGTACTTATTTAATGTGTAATATTCCATAGAAGTTTTGAGACAATAGAATGTGTCAAAGAATTATTTGAAAGACAACGCACTCTACCCGAAATATCTGAAATACTGAATAGAATAGAACCATGTTTCAAAAAAACAACATATAGAAAAATCTCGAATTGAAGGACTTGTTGAGAGGCAGCTCTAGAAATTTCTGATGGAGATTCTAAGTGCTTGAAAGCGCGGTAAGGTATTGAGATTGGAAAGGCACGAATAGTAAAAACATTTCGCTTTCTGAAAGAATTTACATCAAATGCCCATGAAACCATTTTTCGAAGAAGTGTTTCCGCCCTTGTTGTTGTTGTTTATTTCTAAGACATCTGGGTCGAACTGCAATGTAAGTCAAATTTTCCTAGAATGCCACTGTGAGCTTAGTGGCGATAACGTTTGTTCACAACGACGGCGTTTTTTGCATATCTTGAAGGAAGGTTTCGTTCCAGCATTAGAGTCATCTTCAATATTTAGACTATTACTACTTTTGCTTCACTTTTTTTCGTCACCGTGCTTCAGTTTCAGCATATAGTGTGGGAACGGTGTCGAGGTTCAATTTGTAGGAGAAACACGTAAGGTCTCATTAATTAGAATTTCTTCCCATACTGTTTCCGTAATTCAGGTAGCCTAGCTACGCTTTCTGACACAATTTGCGTCGTTTTGAACAGTGCACTCCACACTTGGTTGCATTGTGGGACCAAAGAGAGCAGGGCCAAGATACTTGAAGAGCTCCGCCGCCTGTTCCGGTGATGGCTGTACTGCAGTCATTGAGTCCGCAGTCGGAGTTGAAGTTGGTTCCGTTGGCTGCTCCACCTGAAATTGTTTTTATTCAACTAAAAAATGGCGTGAAAATAGGATAATAGAAAGGTTTCACGGAGATAAAGGTCGCTTTTGCGTACTTCTCTGAAAAAGTCGTCTAATCCGTCTCGTAAGTCAGGAAGTGTCCCTTTGACAGTTAACGGCATAATGCAGTTGAAATCCTCCATTGTTATGTCGTTAACTGGTGGAGCTGAGAAGAAAGGTTGCGAAAGAAGCGCCGATGTTAGAGATCCAGACGACTCAGGAGAAGAATTTTCAGGAGTGAACATGGAGAGATGTGGCATTGTTTTCATTGGAATCTCCACTTTAATCTAAAAATACACTACTGTATTACCGCTATATTGTTCTCTTCCTACGATTCTTTCGCTTTCGCTTTTTCGCCTACTAATCGCTTTTTTCTTTTGATTTTTCTTTCGCCTAATAAGTGAAATAAGCAATGATTGTAATAATCGCGATAACGTTCAGTAGTGAACGCGCACGGTCGATTTTATGCATTCTCATGTAATGGTTTACTAGTCTCGTCGTGCCCAACGGGGGTGGCCTATGTGCCAAACTGTGAAATAAAGCACGGTTTCATTTTAAGCTAGAGTGCATAAGCTAAGAAGAGATTTAACACTTCAATCTGTCACGAGATCCACCCAAAATACTTCTATCGCAGAGCGTGAACAGCTGCCAATAGGGGCTTCCTCGCGAAAAGCACGGAAGGCACCGAAGAAATACCATCATATCGAGGCTGTGACGCTCATTGCGTCCATCATGCGAGCAGACTCAGCTGTTCTGACACAAAATAGGAACAAACTAGGCATTTTTTGTTATTACATGAGTTAGTGGATGATTAACAGGATTACGTGGAATGCTGAGGCAGTTGTGCAAGGGAGTTTTCAGATGTGGAATATAGGGAAGGAGCTGGTCCCTGTTTGGTATCAGTTTCCGAATCCTGGAGGAATGTAAGGCTCGACTGGTCCTAAGAGAATCGACTCGATCCGATCAGCATTTGATGACATTCATAAAGAAGGTTGAAAATCCCCAAGCAGCAACTGAGCCGACGCACAAATCTGAAGATCTTCGTGGGTACGAGGAAACGAATCGAATGCAAGAAATGCTGGAATCGGCAGAATGTGTGTTGTTGGGTTAACGGAATCAGCGGTGATACAGCTGAAGCTTAACATATTCCACTAGATCTATTTAAGGTTGCAACGTATACCACGATATTTAAACTGTCTCATTCTATGCGCACTGTTTAATAAGGAGTTCTAGTTTTATAGAAACTGCACTAGAAGGTTAAAAAACTAAACAGTTATTTTTTTTAAAAATCGACCTATGTAGACACCGATTATCTGATTATTCTTTTCAACAAAAGTTTAATTGAACCCAAAAGTTCCCATTTGCATACCTGGCCACAAGTCATTCCATAAGGGATCATTGTCATCTGGCTGAACTCTTCTTGTTTGACAAACGGAACGAGATGATCGAACGGATGAGAAAACACTGGATCGACGAGAAATGGCGACACAGGAGACAATGGTCGATCCTGAACACTTATTCAATCTTTCATTATGGTTTTAGTTAACGAAAGGTTTACCATTTACACCTATTCCAGGGGAGAATTTTGCTAATTTGGAAAATATACCAAATTTCATAATAGGAAAAGGATTCAGCATTTAACGTTCCCTTAAGGTATGCATATTTAGCATATGCTTTTCTGGGGTTAGCGAGAAGAGTTTGCTCATCCTGTAACACGGAATCGAACAAAGGACTGATCCACTATGCATTGCATGGCACCTCTAGCCACTGTGACACACGGATATTCACATTTCGTAAAGAACTCAAGTTCATAAAGCGTCGTAGGGATGACTGGATGCATATTTGCACTTGCGGTTGCTTAACGATGTATCAAGTTTGTCCTCTACCTCAGTACCACCAGCAATCTCCCGTCAAAGAGATTGATCTGGAGAGTTAGTGTCTTTAAGCTCTCAGGCGAGCGCGCTAAATTCACCATCCTGTAGAAATGCAAAGCTTGGGGTGCACGAACACGGAATCGAATCCGGAACCGATGCATTGAGTATTGCAAGCGATTTCTAACCACTAGACTAAATTAGCGTGACTCAGCAATGATAAATGAAGCAAGAACTAACTGGCGTCGGTGATTCCTGGCATGGAAAAGCTGTCGGATAGTTATGTCGAATGTTGTAAATCCATGAATTTGCCTGAAGAGTCGCCGCTTCGACGCTGCTTAAAGATAGTTGTGAAAGAACACCAAACAACGGAAACCTCGGAGTATTACCTCACCTCAGAATCTGGTAGTAGCAATGAATTAGGTGTCGAACCCTTCGCCCCTCCTGCACTTCGTGATAAAGAGTTCCTCGAATTGCAAAGACCGTATGCAGCCACTTCCATTCGCCGCTAGCGGATTGCATTTTGATCAGCGCTAATACGGAGCCTTCCTTTTCTTGGCACACTATGATCAAGAAAAATAGATATTACGTGCTTGTTTAATGAATTCTTAAAGAGTGATCAAATATTTCTACTTAACATTGTGAACTCATGCTATGCCAATTTAGAAAAAACGGATAGTTTGTAAAGCAAATTTTAGCAGGTGACGTTGTCATGGAATAACTCACAGAGGCGGTGTTTGTAAGCGATTTCGGGAAGGTGGGTCGGATGAAGTAAATTGTACCAACTCTGTCCTTCTAGTTCATCCTTGCTGTAGCCAAAATGAGAAGCATACCTGAAGGTGAACGAATCAAGAGAAATTGCCACTGTATGTTGCGTTGATTCGGTCTGAAAACGGCTGCATTACAGGGGATTTTTGAAGAGCACATCTGTGCCGAGCACCGTGTGCAAGTCTGGATTGGTTTTTTGACAGTCTGAAAGTACCTCATTATTTTCAGTAATGTTTGCAAACCAAATTACCTCATTATTTACAATCATTCTGAGACGTTTGTAAAACTCCGTACTGCAGGTGTCTGCTTAGATGTAGTAAATAAAACGGTTAACATTGTGATTATAATCCATTATTGTCTAAAAGTTGTATAAGGGTCACTGTGTCAAAATCTCATTACACCAGTAAACTTTGCTAGAACTTATATTTAAATTAGGTCATTTAACCTTTTCCCTGCAAAGCTGGTTTTTCCTTGAGTACTCATTATTACCTCACCACAGCAGTATTTCAGAAGCTCAGAGCTTCATAGATTTGCAGAACAAACTCTGTTATTCGGTTCCTATATTGCCGTTGAGCGGTCGGATCATTTTTTTCTGCCTTCTTATTTGATTTCAATGTCGTACCCTAATCAACTAATAAAACAAAGGATTGAAAAGACGGGTGCCGAAGCAAGGCTTCCCTCAGATCCACATCGAGGGTAAAACCTGGGAACTCATTGGCCATGTTGAGTCGGGAGACCTGGGACAGCAAAGTGCCCAATCAGCAGTAGAGCAGATTTGCTGCCTCGCAAACTGGGTGTTCCTGTGTGTGACGTTAGGCAGCGAGACAAACGGTGGAAGGCCACAAAATTTCGCGTTGCGTAGAACGTCACTGGAAACAGATCTGAAGAACACATCCAGGATACGTCATGGTGATTGTTTTTCCTCTGCATGAACAACATAAGAACACTCTATTGAGACACCGATCTTCACGATATTGATGAAGCCGCAGATCGCGTAAAATTCCATGGTGGAGGAAGTTATTTGCAGTGATAAGGCGTGTTATAAATTTGTTGTTGGAGATACCAACGCCAGAACAGAAAAGGCTAACGAGAGCGAATACAGGATCGGAGACTTTGGATTAGGAGAAGGAAATGAGGATGGAAACTGTTTTGCAGCACTTCTACCTGCAGTGCGCCTCTTCCGTTTCTTCCCCTTCCGTGGAAAGTTGCTTTCCAGAAGGAACGATTTCGCCACTGGATATTGAAGTTGCTGAATGGTACAACACATGGGGAAATGCACCATGTCCTTAAAACAGAAGATGGTAACTGCTTATCACATCCATAGTCCTATCACTGTGCTTGGTTCGATCACTACCCTCTTCGTGCAAGGATTCAGTTCAGCCGTAAGTTGGAAAACTAATTTCATCGATCAAGAAGAAAACGACAAGCTGTATATGATGAGAATATTCTGAACGAAATCCTATCCAAACGTTGTTAGCAAATTAACGAGAACCTAACCGAAGACCACGCGGGTTGGTGAAACACTTAGTCGTTGTGCCGAATTAGCCGCAGCTCCTCAGTCAAAAACAACAAACCATATCTCCATTACTTCTAAGGAGTTGCTGAAGAAGAGAAGTAAACAGCAGCTTAGTTCTATTGCAACATATTTGATAGGGATAGCTGTAAATGCCTGTTCCAGAAGACATTTACATAAAGATCTACATCGGTGCGGACACAACAAACTGTTCGAAGTAGCACTGTACAGAACCAGTCTGAACAAATGATGTCGGATCTTACGTGAGTGTAACGTTCCGCTACCCGCAGTTGCCCATGAAGGTGGGACCATTACCAAATGCCGCCATGATATGGAATTGATAACAGAGAGGTTCTATACCAATCTTTCTTTTTTCACAATCCCCATGTCAGCCTCCGAAATCCTTGCTGAATAAAAATGTCCTGGGATTTTTCCATTTGAAGTTCGATTTGCGATAGATAGCGTGAAAAAAGGCACGGCTCCAGGACCCGATAATGTAACCGCCGACTTTCTTAGGGATGGAAGCCATAATTTACACGTACTTCTCGTAAACCATACGAAATTCTGGCTTCAAAATGGAAAACCTCAACTAGTGGAGTACGTCGCGCGCGGTCATCATCCACAAGAAAGGTGACAAAAGGCGCCTTCGTAACCGTCACCCGATATGGTTGTTGCGTGCACTCTACAAGTTGCTTACGCAAATCATCCTATCGCCCATATCGAGGACATTGGATAGGGTACAACCAGGTCAGCAAGCAAGACTTCGACAGGGATTCCGTTGCAGCACAAATTTCCCATCGACTCAAATGTATTCTTTTACTGATAAACTAACGATGTGGTGCTTCGTGATCGGATCGGAAGAAAGGACAACTGTGTATAATCAGGCTCCGAAGAAGGCGAAGGCGCCGAAACGTTAGAGGAATAGACTTCTTTATCAGCTTCCTCTTAGCCTATCATTGAAATGATGCTTATTGATTGGTCATGACGACGCGAAAGGAAGGTCCGTTTTAGAAAGATGTTGCTTATTGCACTAATGGAGTGCATAATTTTTATGCACAATTTACGTACGGCAGGAAGACCACCGACCCGATGGTCAGAGTTCTTCATAATGATCCTTGAAGAAAGGTATGATGTTCGACGAGTCCCGAGAGCGAGCAGAACCCACTGGGCAACTCTTGCACGCGACAGGGAAAAATGGAATGTTTAGTGGCGCCCGCTCGAGTCACTCGACGATCAACGGGATTATAGGTTATACAGGTGATAACTTTTATACAACAGAAATTATGCTGTTGAAAACAAAAGGGACGCAATGAAGAAGACTGTCGTTTCTTGATGAACGGGATCCCACACGTTCATTTGGAATCGTATTCGAGATAGAAGCCTTGAAACAAAAAAGTGGAAGAAATGTATGTAATGGGCTCCAGAAGCAGTATGTCATGTTGACGAAATAAGTGAACTTTTATGCTCTCAACGAAGACTTAAATATTGTTCTATTATAAACTGCGATTAATAAAATTCATTACGGGCTGAGGGCGCGTGTTGTGCAGTGGTCGGAGGCGCCCTGCAACACATACGTGGAATCGATTTCCACCATGCCCAACAAGCCGTCCATCCCTCCGGAGTGAGCAAATTGGTACCAGACTTGTTTGGAGGGATAGCAGCACTGGCTCGATACATCGGTAAGTAACCACGAGTCATTGTAAAGGCGAATTATGCATTCATTGACCTCCAAACGATGCTTAATGAAGTCGAATGCATTGCGCATCCCTCAGCGAATGATCAACGCCGAGATCATTATCCCTTATTTTTTTATGAGCTAAGAAATTTTTATTTAAAACTAGAAGTTGCCATTATTTTCGCATCGTATGACTATAGAGGTCACGTCGTCACGTGCGTCTTAATAAAAACAGTAGTCACAAGCTCAGAAGAACTGGTGAAATCATAAAATATGGGATTGGATGATTGTCGACATAAAAATGGCTAAACCTTTCTGAATACGATATTAATGAATATTTCATGAATTGGTGGCACCTTTTCTTTACGTATAAACATTGTTCTATCGAGTTTACAGTTTATAGTGATACGTTGTTACAAAAAGGCCTGTAGTTCCTCTAATAATCCACATTGAAATCATTAAGGAATATTTTTTAAAACATCCCATATTGAAATTTGAAATGGAATGCTACTGTAGTTCGAATCATAAACGTACATATGATCGACTTCTTTAAAAGTCATATCGAGGTAATGCTGACTGCTAAAAACATCTGTATTGCCGACGGAAAGCGCTTCAGCGTTTTCCGGATTGATCACGGGCTGACAGTACGCAGCGAAAATCGGTTGGGCCTGAAACGAAAATTGCGTAGGCACTACTCCCTATTAAATTGTAGAGGTCATAAAAAATCTTTTCAATCTTTTTGCATTAGTTTACGATACAGTTGCATGCGGCCTGCTATATCATCCTCTGGCAGTTGGTTGACTAATCGTAGGATTCCCTGCCATCGTTCAAGATACAACCCACCAAGGTACCTTCTACCTTCCAATCCAAATAGGCCTGCATTTGTGTGTGCTAAAGGCCTGAGAATGCGCCAGCACAGGTATTTCAGCATTCCAAGGAGACGATGAACACTTAACATGTAATTGAGTGAGGATAACAACTACAAGCACTACATTAATCCATATCCACCTTGACAACCTCTCCTGATAACGGTTGCAAGATAGGTAAACGAATAGGAGAAGTTCGTTGAGTAAAGATAACAGTCCTGACTAATAGCTTAGTGCATATTCGAACCGGACCACTTACATTAGAACGGTTGTAAGACAACGAAACTAATGGAGGAAGTGCTGGAAGTCGAATGATATTTGGGGAGAATGATCTAATTACATTGTCGTTGCTGTTGGTGTTGTTGGTCGATGGCTAACGTTTCGGCGATTTCGCCTTCCTCAGAACCATGCTGTTATGAGTGAGACTCACTAGTCGGAAAGGCGAAATCGTCGAAACATCAGCCATCGACCAACAACACCAACAGCAACGACAACGAAGACCTATACCTCGCAACAGCTTAAGAAGATCTAATTACGACTAAGGGCAGCATTGGAATACTGAAGAATGAAACGACAAATGAACTGTGAAAACAACATGGTTGAGCAGTGAAGAAGCTGGCAGCCCCAATAAGTCGTAAATCGGTTGCTTATGGCCACCAGGCTATAAAAACTATTTTCTTTAGTTTGATGTTATGTAAAACGGTTACTAGGTGGTATATAAGTCTGGAAGTAAATATGAAGCGTTTAAAACGTCACAAAGAGCAGGTGCGGACTGCTAAAGAACTGTTACGTAAAGGGTTCACCAGGTGCATAAAGAGATGGCACTACATAAGTGAAGAAATTTCATTAAGGATAGGAGTGTTACGAAATAGGAGGCACTGTTGGTGCTTACTCCATACTTCATATGTCACCAAGGCAATAACATTCTCATAAAGGGAAAGTAAGGCTCAACAAGAATGGCCTCTTTATGTCCACATATTGGGATTTATAGACGTAGAATTGTGCGCGAGACAGAAATGCACGAAATAGGGAATAGCCTTTACAAGACGCAGTGCTGAAATTTATATTTCATCTCGGATGTATGAGCAACATTTCAGATGTCAGTATGATCAGTGAAAAGACTGGAGAAACGCTAATGGAAATTCTGAAATCTTGATCTCGTCTAAGAAGCTGGAATGGTCAGCTTAGCGCTTACCTGCTCTGGAATTTTCTTGCTACCAACTTCGCTATTTAACTTTCTCACATTACGTTTGCGCCGATGAATAAGAATGGAAAACTCCACGTGAAAAGCGCTATGGAAAAGCTCCACACGAGGTTCGATACACTTTGAAGTAGTACAGAGCAACAATTGACAAATATTTTTCAAATGAAATATGATGTTTCAGAAGGAAGCACGACCAGTTTTTAGGGTGAATGAAAGTTCTGAAGCTAAAGTGCTCGCCACTGCAGTCAATCCTTCCTTCCTCCATTGCACTCAGAAATTTTAATGTTCACCTAAGAAACTCTGCTATCACTTGGGAAAAGACCGCTTTAAAAAAAACGAGCAGTTTTTCAAATTAGCTTCATATCAGAGCGGGAAACATGAATTATACCGTGTCGGGTGTCCCTACCAACGATTGGAAGTATTCGGCAGGTTGGATGTACCGTCCTTGCAAGAGGATAAACTGAAAAAAGAAAAAAATAGTGCGAATGGAAAACTTAATGAAGAATGGTTCCAGAACAGACTTGTAATCGGGCATTGTAAGATGTCTTGAAACATTATATGAACTGCCCTTAACAAATCAAGTTAAATTGAGCTGCCATTCTACCTAATGGTATTTTATTTACTCAGCATTTAGCCGGACATGCTGAAAATCACTGCCACTATAGAGTCGTTTACATCACATAACAATAAGCCTCAATCCTATCCATAACAAGTTGCATCCTCATGTTGTAAAGACCAGCTGATATTATAAAGTTTAAACACTGCTATATAAAGACTACAGGGGAAATCATGCTCTTGCTCAGTCATCAGTGAACACGTGAATAATGAAAGAAGATGACAGATTATCAGGTCACAGCCAAATTAGCACATGAATCTGACCGCTTCAGATTTTTTGGCTTTTACATCGTCCTTGAGCAATCGGTTATTTTTAATTCCTACACTGGTTTCTTGCTTCGGTTTTAACCTCGACAGAAATAGGCCAACGTCAGTACACCACACACTATGTGTTTCCATGTATGACGTCAGGCAGTGAGACGAACAGTGAAAGACCGCAAAATCTCGGGTTACGCAGGGCGTTACTGGAACAAGATGTGACGAACGCACACACGATACCCCATGGAGATTGTTTCCCACCCCGCATGTATAATGCCAGAACACTCTTCACAGACGCCGATCACCGCGCTCCTCTTGATGCCGAAGATCGCTTCAAATTTCACGTAGTCGCACTGAAAGAAACAAAAGTCGAGAAGACTGACCCACGCCAGCTAAACAGTGGAACATTTGTCTTCCACGGAGAAAACGTCCCGTCGTGAAATGTCGGTGGCGTAGGATTTGTCATTCACCCGTCCACAGTCAAAGTTGTCAAGTCGAACGAGGTCCTCTACCCTCGAATGGCCGTCCTCCATTTTCAACTTACGCGTCATAAGAAGATGATAATCGTCAGTTGTTACTCACTGACCGATGTGGCTGGTAAGTACGAAGTGTGTGCGTTCCACTGTCAATTCGAGGAAGTTCTCCATAATGATAAAGCGTATTACAAATTTGTTGTCAGAGACTTTAACTCCAGAATTGGAAATACCAGCCGGGGCGGATACAGTATCTGAAATTTCTGATCAGTGAAAAGAAATGAGAATGGAAATCGTCTCGCAAGACTCCTGTCTGCAGTCCATCTCTTTTAAGAAAACTCGTTTTTCCAGAAAGAAGATATCCGCTGCTGGACATGGAAGTCACCTAACGACTCATGCAGAGATCGACCATATTCTGAGAAACAGATGATGCCACCTAGTTGACATAGCGCTAGTCCCGTCATTCTGTACTGGTTCCGACGACCACATTCTTCGTTCGAAGACTCAATTCAGCCGTAGGATGGGAAATAATTCATGTCATCGACCTCGAGGAAGAGGTCTAGCTGTATATAACGAAAACATTATGAACGAAATCCTATTCAAACGCGACTGGCAGGTAAAGGAGGACCCGATCTAGGACTATGATCTACATGTGGAACGACTGAAAAGCTGTGCGACTTTGCCCCAGTTCCTCAAGCAAGAAGATTGGATCGCATCTCTATTACAATCAAAGAGTTGCTCGAAAAAGGAAACTAAAGATTGATCCTACTGCAACACGTCTAACATGGCTAGTAATGAATTACAGCTGTGAAAGAGGTTTGCAGAAAGATCTACATCAGCACAAGCAAAGCAAACTACTGGAAGCATCAGCGAAAAGAACCAGTCCGAAAGAATGTCGTCAACACTATTGTCATTATAATGCTCCGGTGTCAACCTTGATGAACGAACATAGGATCATCAGAATATCCCGCCATAGTGTGCGATTGATAACGGAAAAGTTCTACAGAAATTTCCTTTCCACAATCCCCGTCCCAAATCCTAAAATCCCTGCTTGAGAACAACCACCTGGAATTCTTTCACCGGGGGTTCGAATTGCGAAGAAAGTATGTAAAGAGGCACAGCTCCAAGACCCAAAGACATTCCTGCAGATTTCTTTGGAGCTGGAAGCTACAATTTACATGCACTTCTCGTTAATCGCGTGTGCGCAGTGGTCGGAGGCGCCCTGCAACACACACGTGGAGTTGATCCCCGCGCTCATACCCCACCAAGCCTTCCATCCCTCCGGGGTCGGTAAATTGGTACCAGACTTGTCTGGAGGATAGCAGAAGTGATTCTCAGGGCGCATCCTTAAGGTAGTGATCAAAGCCGACAGTTTTATCCTTTATCTTTTGTCTCGAAAACCATATTACAAGTTACTTTCAAAGGGAAAAATTTACAGACCAGCTGAGGAGGTCGTACACAGTCATCCTGCATAAAAAAGGGGATCGAAGGGATCATTGTAACTATCGTCTGCAGTGCTTTTGGAGTGTAACCTACAAACTGTTTATGAAGATTATCCAGGCACGCATATCAAGGACAGTGGATGAGGCGCAACTAGTGGAGCAAGCAGGATTTCGACAAGAATTTTGCTGCATGGACTACATCAAAACTGTGTCCAGCATGATTGAAGTTTGTCGGGAATACCACCTGCGGGTAGTGCTAACTTTTGTCGGCTATGAAAAATCCTTTGATGGTGTTAAAACGAATGCAATTCTATCAGCGCTCGTCGAACATGTAGTACACCCTTCTTACATAAGAACTCTGTCTGACTGTTATTGGAACTGCACTATAAAAATGCAGCTTTTTCATCGAGCTTTTACTATACCCATAGGAGAAGGAGTCCTGCAGAGCGACACAATATCGCCAAAGCTGTTCAGTGCTGCACTGAGGTGGACAATGAACTCACTCGACTTTGATTGAAAAGGCATATGTATAGATGGAAAATTCCTATCAAACCGTTTCGCTGAAGACATCGTCATCTTTTCAAGGAGTATCAGCGGAGAATAGACAATGATCAGTGTGCCCAACGAAGCGGGTAAAAAGATCGGACATCGGACTACGCACAAATCGGAAGAGGGCCCGGTTCAAAAAACCTCCAAGGTGCGAAGGGGAAAAAATTGAACAGGACGGCTCTCTGATTGCAGATACCACTTCGTACGTATACCTTGAGCGATCAGTGAACATGGATAGTAAAACGAAGGAGGAACTAGACAGAAGAAGGAGAGCAGCTTGGGCCGCATTCGGGCCTCTCAAGGAAGCCACGGACTAACTGAAGGACCCGAGAATCCGCTCTCTTTTTTTCTATCCAACGGCCCTTCCAGCGCTCTGTCATACTGCACAGAATGCAGGGATATTTCTATCACATCAAAAACGCTGCGCACTACTCACAGAGCGCTCGAACGATGTCTTCTTAGATATAATCGGCACACACAAGATCGACCCGGAATTCAAAGCTCTGGTCTTCGAGATCCGCTCCATCTTCGGGATCGAGGAAGATATACATCAATAGCGAAACATGTCTGTCACATAATGAAAGGAATAGAAGGACGAAAAAAACTACAGAGTGGAGTTCACGAGAATGTAGGTGTCCTCTAGGACGGCCACCACTATCTTAGACGGACTTGTTCGTAACTAGAGTTGATCAGCTGTTCTCACAACTTAGTCATTTCACAGATGGCAGTATGAAATTCTTCCAACGTGTCGAAACAAGTACCCAAATAAATTGTTCGATAAAGCATTCGGCGCAGATCAAACCCTGATGGATGTGCTGCGCATTTAACTCCATCAAGCATCACATAGTTGAATGCACATCTTTCCATACCACAACTGTCTGTGAGCTACCAATGTATGTTGTTAGGATTCGACAACTCTGCCACTTAAGGCTTCGGACAAGAAGACCAAAGGGTAGAGAATAGATCATCTGAATCTCCGTTCGATAACTTAGTAATATCCACAAATTCTCTACCTCTACTAAATTCCTTCTTTCGAAATATTGCACTGGTCTCCCTGCTTACCAGTTTCTTACAGTTGTTACCTTTCCTAAGGTCTACCAGAGATTTAAAATTATCTTCCCACGAATCTGAGATTAGGGATGCCAGAAAAATAGTCACCTTGTGGTACTGCAACTGTCTCTTGGCGGTTCTTGCAAGGTTCAACCGGCAGAGAAAAATGCGCTCTTCGGGGAAAGAAGTGCTCGGCTGAGGACCGCTGTTCAACTCCGACTGAATGGTCGCGTGATCTCGCTGATCAAAGAGGTCGAAAATCGAATCACCTTGGCACATGATCTCTTCCTAAAGGTTTGTTCATCTATAGTGTTGTTTATTAGCTGTTATTATTTGCAATATTCATCGACGTTGAATACTTTATGATCTACTTATCCTAAGTAATTAAGAGCGCATTACTGAAAGTCGATGATATAATTTCTTAATGATACTTACAATCGAATGTCCCAGGTATTCGCTGGCATTGTCGGAGACATGTAATAGTTTTCCACTTCTCGTTAGCATAATTAGGAAACCGCGAAGAGCCTTACATGTGTCCAGGTCTTTCGGTAATGGAATGCTGTCTTTTGAGGTCGGTCTGAGGACTGGAACAAAACATTCTTATTCGTTTTATGTTATATCATCTTTGATGAATTGTTGTCCGACAGAGACAAAAAATGATTTGGTCTTGGAATCTGAGAACTCCGAGTTTGGGTTCGTATCGTATTTAATCAATTCCTGGTAACCCAAGAGTTTTCAAACATTTCAAAAGCTTATTTGAAAAGGCTGACGATTGTCTATGGGGCAAAGTTAAGGATTGCGAGGATTACTCATCAAGCTGTCTCAAGAATTCACGGCAAGTACAGAAACATGGCGTTCATTGGAATCATGTCAAGTCAATAGAAAAAGAATGCGTTCGATACGTCCGCGATACTCCGTGTAGACTGTTTTCAACAACGAAGCACGTTTTTCTCAAAGCACTATGTCATCGTGACCTGTTTAGACCATAGTAGTGAAGTATTGTGCCTAGATAGAAAAATAATATGCGGTGGAATATCCCATAAATTCTGCTGAAAGAGACTTCAGCACAATGTCAGGGAAAGGTGAAGAAGACAGGATCGAAATATTTTGGGAAAGAACCCGAAGTGAGATCTGATGACAATGCAGGTTCCTAATCAGCACACCACCACAGTTTTCCGGATGAAGGAAATTCGGCATTACGCATGAGTATTACTTAATAGTGCGACTCATTCGATCGACAAGCGGAAAATGGTTTTCGAGACCGCTATGCTGTCATCATTTTTAGCCGACCAAACCATCGCCATTGCCAAAGGAGTGGCTTGAGATGAGAAGTGACGCTTCATTTTGCTACAATACGTCTGGTAATACTACATATGCCAGCTGCCGGTGTTTACAGGATGACTTACGTCGCTTTAGTCAGAGGAAGCTGTTACAAGGAGCTCAAGAAGGCATGCCATTGGGACCAATGCGTTATCACGCTTGAAAAACGAGAGCTGGATTACTACCACCTTTTGTCACGGTGTGCTATTTATAGTGAAAACATTGTACTCCAATCCTCTCTGTATCGTTTGAAATGGGAGAGATACCTGGTCAGTAGGGGATCTCTCATACAGTCATTGTTCTTAAGAAGGGTGACGAAGGGAAGTCCCAGGAACAGACTCTATTTTTAACCTAGGCATTGATCAATAATTCACTACTTTCTTGATGGGAAAACATGACCTTTTTTCTGCAGTATTTCATTCACAGTAGCTGACGTTTCGGTTGTTTCGCCATTTTCAGACCTTGGAAAGGTCAAATTGATACGTAATCAACTCAGTCAAACTCTCTCATAATCTCAAAAGATAAAACGTAGAAGAACTTCGCAAACGATTTATTTGTTGAGTATGCTCTACCGGCTCTTCTCGATGATTGTCTTCTTCACCAGGACGGATAAAACTCGAGCTATTGAGCAGGAAACATTTCGACAGGTGTGTTGCTTCTGAATATGGATCTTATCCAAAGCATAGTTATAGGAATCTGTAGGCCACCCAACATAATCGCTATTGTAATCTTCGCCTTTTATGAAGAAAACGCTCGATAACATCGAATCAAGTGCCATTTTAACAGCGCTCGTCGAAAAAGGGAAAGCCGATAATTAAATAGCTCAAACTGGATGAAGGCGGCAGACGATTCAATAAAACTTCTGCCAAAGAGTCACTTTTCCGACGATTTTTTCAACTTGGTAAGCATTGAATCAGAAGCAGCAATCAAAGAGTTCTAAGAAAATGTAGCTCATTTAAAAACTGAAGGTGTAGTGAAAAGAGTCAACATGGATGATCCCTGGTTTGCGGACCATATCATAATTGTACCTACCTACATCTAGGAACGTGGAACACGACATGAAAATAACCTGTGCTGAAAAATAAGAGCAGAGTGGGTTTCACGGGAGCTTTTCAAAGAATTTACTCACTACTCCATATCCGATGATTACAAATTTAAAAGTAATGTAGATGAGCCGGTAATTTTGCCATGATGGTTGATATAGAAAAGGAGAGTCAAGTGAACTTCCGGTGGATGAGAGCTCCTTTTAGAGAGACGATAGGATCGGCTGTCGTTTTCACACCAATCGTTTGCATTTATAGCTGGACCTTTTTGATTTCTCAAGCATTGATAGCCGTAGACGCCGCAACGAATGATCGAAACCGGGAAAAGAGATTTGGACTTATGGGACTCACGAGAATAGCGAAAACAAGCAATTATGAAGGCATTTTGCTCAGTCCTAATGAACCTTTGCCACATCCCAAGTTTAAAGCAATAATACCAAACGCTAACCCTTTTTTAGGTAGCCCTTGAGGATTTTCTGGAATATTTGAGGAGAGAGTGAAGCTAAAAGCTTATTAGGTATGGAAGTACTAACTATGCTTCTCATATCGATGTTTACGAATATAGATGCATCCCAGAGACATAACTTGCAACTGAAACAGCCGATCCTTGATCGAGTCTGACAACGGCAGAAGGTCACGAAGTCGTTGAATCTCCACATTGATCTGATCACGTCGTTGTTTCGATGCTCCACGAGTTGATCTCAAGCACTTCTTTATTAGTAAGTTACAAAGTCATTAAATTCCATAAAGTCACAAAAATGAGCTAAAAAAGTTAATCTTTTTGTTAAGCAAATTAGACGCGACGCCTAATTTTCGTTGGCTACCGCGCAATGCAACGTCTTCCTTTTTTGGCTCAGTGTATTGAATTCAATCCATATATTGCAAAGTGCTTCCAAATGAAACATGCTCCTACCTTTTTCATCAGTTACATATTGATAAATATTTTTCAAGTGGTCTCCAATTAGTTCTCGCCTTCTACGTGCCCTCTATATTATGCCTATTTTTCTACATTTTTCAAACATTTCCGACGGTTGTAACTAATCTGAAAGCTAGTCGAGATGGATTCAAGATGCTGTTCACACTGGTAATCGGTTTCATAGTATATGTGAAGCATATTCTGGTATTTTTGAAATATTTCTATATCTCTCAATTTCACAGAATAGCCATAACCTTTCATGGGGATTGAATGGAAAGGAACGGATAAAAAAGCTGTCGGCGTTGATCAAACCCTGAGGGATGCGCCATACATTCGACTTCATTAAACATCGTTTGGAGGTGATTGCATGCATAGCTGGCCTTTACAATGAATCGCAGTGGCTTACCGATGTATCGAGCCAGTGCTGCTATCCTCTCAGACAAGTCTGGTACCGATTTGCCGACCCCATAGGGATGGAAGGTCTGGTGGGCCATGGGCGCGGGGATCGATTCCACGTGTGTGTTGCAGGGCGCCTCCGACCACTACGCAACACGCGCCATAAGGAACGGAAAAGGTTAAAAACCAGTGGTGGAGGACGGAATTTTACAGACTTGAATCGTGTCGGCAAGAACGACATGAATTCTTCCGTTGATCGATTGCTCACCGAGAAGGAATAGAAATAACCTGTAAAAGCGAGGATAATTGGGAATGTTTTCTGATAACTGTCGAGTAGTCTGACGAAAATGAAAAGGAGAAAGAGGGCGAAGATGACGGGGAGGTCAGTGCTAAGTGGTCAAACAGTACAATTCACTGCGCTGAGACCTTCGGTGACAGTCACACCATAGCGAACGAGCCTGCTCTTGGCTACACAGGATAAAATACTTTCTTGCGGTCTACTCATGGCTGATGTGATATTTGAGATATCGTTCTGAAAGAGCCTAATAGATGGTAACAGGAGAAAGACTAATCATGGAAGCCTAAAACTCTGAGAGAGATTAAAAGGAATACCGACTAAGCTGCTTAAAAAATGTGGGCCAACCGTCATTTTTTTGACAATTTAGCTTATGAGAGACAACGCAATTCGTGCAATATTAGTCCATTTATCACTCTTGTGAACTACAAAAAAGTTCACAGGTTGGCCAGAACGTCTGCATTGATAACTTCCTCGTGTATTTTAGAGAAGGAGTCCTATTCCTTCAGGGCATAAATCTTCTCTATGGAAGGAAACAAAGGAAATATAGGAAGGACCGCTCTGTTATTAAGGTATCCTACTATGCGCTAGAGGTGGTTGCACTTGCAAAACTACGATGTCCTGTGAGGAGTTTACAAAACCGAAAATGCGGCTGAGTCGGTGGTGATGAAGCCTATAAACTATTTGTTAAAAGAAGTGAAGAAAAGGGTTTTTACACTGATAGTTAGTATATAAGTTTTTCACTGACTGCGGGCTTACTTCAGAGAAAAGCGTTTGTACTTGGCACATGCAAGAAGGGCAAAATAAGCTCGTCCAGCTGGTCATTTAACAGAAGTTTTAGTCGAATAGAATGTCTAGCGATATAATGGCGCTCAATTGTGGTCATAACCTTAAGTTGACAAAATAGAACAGGAAGAAATAGCACTTCTTTGTTAGCACATACGACTAGATGGAAGCATATTCCTTTCGCAGAAATAATGAGTAAGCAGTGTATTCTTATTATAAAGCTTAGGATGGCTTCCTAAGAATGGCTTTTGCAACATTAGTGAGTGAGTGAGGAAGTGGTTTTGGAAATAAGCAACGAAAGCCTAGAAAACGATGATCGTGGAGGCTTTCGACTATCGTTGACGTTGAGTACCTGAATGATTCGGTTGAAATGGATGAATCTCCAGCTATGCGACAACTGACAGGAAACCGGAGTACTGTTTTTGAATAAAACTCTCAATTGTAAGGAAAATTGGACACGTGGGACAATTGTTTCAAAATATTAGCCAAGAAGCTGAACGAGTTGTACTATGAGTCCCTGACTTGCCCGTTGTGCTTACCATACTTATCAAGAGTGAATTTCTTCTATTTCAAACAAACGGACGACTTCTTTTAAGAGTTAAAAAAGAGTAGTCGCCAATCCAAAGGTGACTTCAAGGGAGTCCAATGATCCAGACATTTATGTGATTTAATGTGCTCAGGTCTATGATACTTTGGCAGAAACGTAAATGGATCTTACCTTCACTGATAACGTTTTGTCAAAAAAGAACCAGGGAATTTTGAACAAAAACAAAAATCTACGTGGTTCGAAAAAGATTTACCTCCATACGGTTGAATTAAAGTTTACCGGAGTGCTTTTAGTCTCGAAATGCATTTGCAACATTTGTTATTTGGCCTTAATCTTGATCATATAAACAATAAGTTCGTAGGTGTGAATACTTTGTACTCCTGCCGCCGTTTATTTCTTCGATTCCAGGAATCTTTAGTAGAATTCTTTTAACTATTATACGTGAATTATCCCAGATTCTACGAACCTGGCATGTGTGAAAAATCGGAAGCCTTCTGGATGACATTTGGCGCTCATAAGATGAATTTGCGCTAAATAGATCTTTTCAGCTGTAGCTGCATTGCTCGTCCGATTTCTTGCATTCACTCATAAAGAACGAAATCTCCGGAATTTTCGATAGTGCATGTTTAAAGAAATGCTATTAGAAGCTCATGAAATTGAAAAAGTCAATGGGTATAAGATCGCAGTGAGAGGTGCAGACTAGAAAATTCAAAATAATGTATTTTTTAAAGATAATGCGCAGTTTCCTATATCTGCTAGCGTACCCAACGGGACCACAGATGATGCAGGTGATACTGGTGATACCAATCTAACGCAGCTCATCCTGTTCCTAAGAATTGTTCTCGATGATCTGACGCGATTTCATTGACGCGTTTTGCATAGCTGTTCTTCTAATGTCTAGCAGTTGAAGAAGGGAAACCACCCATAAAGTTGTCAACACAGAATGTATTAAATGTATAGGCAAGTCATCTAGTAAATATTTCTAGCAAGTTTTTTAGATTTAAGTTGTAATACAAAATTGATCAATAATGCCGAAGTTGATTGGCAGTCGGGTTGAGAAATGTAAGCGTTATAAGTTTATTTTTTATCTCTAGTCCTATTCATGCTGCATTAACCTAGGGAGGAATCATGTCAACAAATTGAACTCCGTCCTCTAGAGCCGACTGTTGAACCAGGAACTGTTTGCTAAATAGTTTTGACCATACCTGACCTCGACTACAAACTATGGTAACTTTTTTGGGTCTGATGGTAATTCATCACTTCAGAAATGTTCAATAGACAAAGTGCCATCGATTGTACTCATTCCGCTTTATCGTATTTACCTTATTAGTGTTTATAATTCACTGCTTAAACTCTTGACGAACAGTGCTTCTATAAGGAAACTTGGAGACTTTATCAGGGGTTTCGTAGGTCTCATTAACAAGTCGACCAATGAAATAGCAAAAAAAAACTCATGGTCCGTTTCGTCTATTTAAATTGTGAATATCTAGGCAGTTAAGTAATTGCCACGAACATATATTCTAAAATCTGTGCGTTTTCAATCCGGAATTTTCCGACAATAAGCTAAATATTTCCAAGGAGGTTGCTTAGTGTCCTACTTTTAGCCTGCCTGGCTTTGCTCACGGTATTGGACAAGGGTGCTTTAATGATTGTGGGTAATATCATAAAACGAATGACTGTATATATTGGCACAGAAAGGAAGTTTGTACATAAAGCCCACTAGTTATATCAGAAGGTGCTTCTGCAATCAAATTTAACAGTTATAGTCGAGCTTTCGATGAGCCACCTCCAAAACTTCAGCTGTCGTTTTTTTCCACTTTCTACATGACCCGTCATCATACCTATTGTACGGACCCCAGCACTTCTCGCATTCGATTCGTTTTTCCTCGCATTCGTCGTCCACTCTTCGAACACTTCGCGTGTTGTCTTGACTGCTTCTTGAGGATTTGTCTTTTTTATGAACGTCATAGAATTCTGGTCGGTTCGATTCTCGTTCCAGTTTTGGAGATAGCCAAGCCAAGGGGTTCACACGTGAGGACGCTTTGACACTTGTCATACTAAAGCAATATGTAATATAAGAGCTAATAGAAACATGTCAGAGCGACTTCAGATATTTCTAAGAACTTGAAAATGCACCAGATTCTTCATCTGCCGTCTTTTTTCAGTAAATCAGGTGGGAGGTCGTTTTCACATGGGCCACCACGCCCGGCACCATGGGAAGGCGATCCGCTTTCGTGCACGAGGAACGCGTGACGTCACGCGCGGCTCGTGCGCGATTACTGCGTCGGACGCGTCGTCAGTGCGTGTATTTGCTGTTATGGAGTGAGAGTTTTGTTTGGACATCGAGAAAGCATCGGGACTCGACCCGATTGTCACCAAACGGAACGACCGAATACGGATATTCGGTGAATCGGGTCAGCTGGCTCCTCGGATTGCAAAATCGTCGCCCTGAATTCGGCACCTTTCACCACTTTCTCAATTCATGTTACTGTACCGGATTACGGTGGCTTCAGCAGAGGGCGCCGCCTTGAACGGCGAGAATAGGGTCGTCGAAGCTGTTGAAAATACATTCAAGTTTGTGAAGTTGCACCCAGAGTTTTTGCTGCTAGAAAGGAAACTGCACAAACATGTAGAGTTTAGACAATTTGGACAACAACAAGCGCTCTGAGTCCAATTTTCCTAGTTTGCACGAGGCTGTGAAATCGGGAATCTTTTTTTCCGTAAAAAGGAGGAAGCAAAAGGAAGAAGAACATCAAGTGGTGTTCGGCACAAATACCGTTAGCATACGAAATTCTACACGGTGCGCGCCACCATCATTGCTGCTCGGTCGCATATTCGTGCAATAAACCTTACTCAAGTGTTTCGCAGTTGATGTTTCCTATTGCTTCTTTTCCTCGGTAATTCGTTCTTGGTTACCAACTTATCACTAGGAACTTATCGCCATGAATGAGACGGATAATATTTCATATGACTGAACGGATTAGGAGAATATTTAGCCTGGGGAATGGTTTCAGATTCGAAATAATTCTGTATTTTTGCACACTGTAATTCTTATTACTTTAGTTCCAATAAAAAATTGAATTGGCGAATTTTTTTGTGCTCCTTAAACGACTTTAACTGCGAAGCACTGTTTTCCCACTTTCGGGGCATCATCGATGAATAGATATTTTTCATAGTAACAGGCTCAAAGTTCAGCTAGTCTCCTTGACAACCGGAAGTAGAAAATTGAAAATAAACAACAGAGTATTTAGTAAAGTTGACTGTTACAGTCTCCGTCATTCCATGAAGAAATTCCCTGAGCGGAATGTTTTACTCATCGTTTCGCAAAATTTGGAACGCTTAGTTTCAATCTCAATTGCTTACCATATAGGCTGAAAGTAGCCATCTTAGTGAAATATGAACCATTCTGGGTTTTAATTAATTTAAAAGAGCTTATTATGTTTTTAACCAGGAAAATGAAAATTTGTTCTATAGCGAAGAATTATCTCGTTATTTTTGCATCTACTGATAAGTTCATTAAGCCGATTGGCGAGCAAAATTCATCGTTATAACCAGCAGAAACTTGACGACATAACTGATGAATCCTTAAAGGATATAGCCCCACTTTTCAATCTGTCAAAGACGAGTATCTTTCACTTCCTTCGGTAAAGGAATACTCGTCATCAACACGAATATCCTCTTCTCAACTGTTGTTTTGGGATACAAACCATTTGCAGTGTTCACCAAGCTCGTACAATATTCTTGTATTAATATAAAGTAAAAGGATTCATCGTTTGAACCAGTATTTTTGACCTCATACTTCCTTTAAACTAAGTGTTGGAAAATGGGTAAAAACATCTGCCTATAAGAGAACCGTTAGAACTTCCATACTCTACGAGAACAGGACCGCTCATATCAAAAGAAACGTACCGCTGCGTTGAATGACTGGAAGAGGAGTTTGCACAGTCTGCGACAATTCTGGATGCAGATGGCGATGGTGTGGACACGACGCAAGAGCCAGGTGTCAGATGCAAGACAGTGCTCATCGCCAACGGCGAACTGAACGTACACCTGAGATCGTGAGGTCACGCCTTTCCTCACTCCAGCCGGCGGCGAGTGGACAGCGTGACGTCACACACGTGGGAATCGCGGTATACTGTATAAACACACGCGTGGACTGGCACCACTACGTTGCCTAGCCTAGCCCAATCTGAGGGTACGTGTCAGCACAGAGCCAGTATAAGTCGTTAACTTAACTCATAACTTATTTACTCGTTTACGACGCTTTCTTTTTCTCAGTAATTCTAATAACTAAGTCCCTTCTTAAACTCAGCGCTGCCCGATTTTAATCTGTACAAGTGCTTCAAGCGGCTACCTTGTTGGATGAACTTCAATGTTGCTGGTGTAAAGCTATCTTTATAACTGTAATCCTATCAGAAGCGTTAAATTCTGAGTCACTTCCACCATAGCGGTCGGCCATCCGAATCCTGCGCGCGCCGTCTCAAGCAGTGTTGCACACACTTTACACCGTAGCCGTCGGCCATCCGATTCCTATGGACGTCTCAAGCAGTGTAGCACACGCTGTGCGAAGTCCTGTGACGCAATCGACAATCAAACACACAGACCAAACAGTCTCGCAAGACACACTGTTGACAAAGAGGGCAGCCCCTAGTGAATCCAACGGAAGCAGGTGAACTGACCACTGCGAAACAGATTCAAACTACTAATAAAACTGAACATTTCTTGTCGCAAAAGAAATGATTACCAACGTCATTGGAAAAAACACAAGGATAAATACTTTTGAAACCCACTGTCATTAAACCTTGGTAGTAAAATAATCAACATCTGTTTATATTGCTGAGCTTACACGAGGTTGTTAGAGATGTTTATTGTGCTAACGTTTCGACGTCTTCTTCTTCATCAGAGCAGGTGATCCTTGTGGATAGTCCACAAGGATAAATGGTTCAAAGTTTTTATTGGGGTCTTAGTTACTCAAGTGCCAATGTTTTCGAGTATGTCTTCACTTTCATTTCCCATTCACTAAATCTACGTTAAGATTCCTTTAAAATAAAACTAATAAAGAAAGAATTTGGCATTTGCCATCTCCCATAATGATTCTTTTCGTTTCCTTTTCGTCAAGAAAGATATGGACTCAATGTCAGTGGGACACTGAAATCCTACAGTAGAAATGGTGGAATCATTACGGGAGATAGCAAATGCCAAATTCTTTCTTTATCAGTTTTATTTTTAAAAAGTTTTAACGTAGGTTTAGTGAATGGGAAAGTTCTTACAGAAAGAAAGATTATCACTTAAATAGTCAATGCATTTGTAAATGTGTCGTTTTCTTTCTCAGCAATCACGAAGTTCTTATTCAGCACACCTTTACTTCTTTAATAACACAAACAATAGAACGGTAGCTGACATTTCGGCAGCATCGCTTTCTTCACTCTAGAAAAGTACACTGATTTGTAATTTGCTAGGTCAAACGCTTCAACAGCACGAACGGAAAGATGAAAACCTGAACGATAATTACACGATCTGCAGCCTCTCAAAAACCTACCGTCCTTTACCTAGCTTCCACCGAGGAGAAACATCCACTCATAGTCGCATGTGGTTGATGACTGCATCATTCCTCAACAAAAAGCAATTCTGAGATAAAGGGCTAAATCACATCTTATCTCTGGGCATTCTTCCCTGCTATTCATTCCCGAGCTCTTAGCATTTATCCAAAAGGCCTTGAAAAGTTTGCTCATTGCTGTTTTGGAATCCTGTGCCAGGACAGCGACCTTTCCATCAAAATCAACGCATTTATTTTTCTTAGATCGTCGATTTATTAGTACTAA